CTCCTCCTCCTCCTCCTCCTCCTCCTTTATATAAAAGAAGTTCTGTGTGTGTATGTTTCAGCATAACTCTGGAACGCCTCGAGCAATTTCAACCAAACTTGGTATACAGATGACTTACCCTCTGGAGACAAACACTGCGGGGGTAAGAAGAAACCCCTAATACCCATCAGTGTGTCTGTGTGTGTATGTGTGTGTCCTGGGTGGCATCCTGGGTGGCATGCAGATACCAGCTCAGCTCCACTGCGCATACACGCATGCCTCCCACCGGCCAGCTTATTGTTGAGTCTCTGCCACGCATGCACGGGGGGCAGGGGGAGTGCAGGGGTTGTGGCGCGAACCCAACCATAGCCTGTGCACTAGGCCAAAAGTGAGACACAAGTGGTGACTGCTTTGTTCACTGACGGGTGGACCTTAGAAGAGAAACCAAGCTGGGAGATTCCACCTTGCCAGCATTGTTACTGAAAAGATCTTGGCAGCAATAACGCACAGCTAATTTGGCCAATGTAGGTATTCATGGGATGCTGACATAATGAGGTAGAAAGGGGGAAGCAAAGCTGCTCTGATTAATTATAGGATGATTTTCCTCCCCGTCCAGCTACCATGTTTCCCTGAAAATAAGTCAGGGTCTTATTTTCTTTTGACCCCTGAAATAAGTGCTTGGCCTTGTTTTTGGGGTGATCTTATTATTTTTGAGGTGCAGGAGATGGCGAGAATGGTCACCCCATGGCTGCTGCTATGTTGCAATATTTTCAGGGAGGGCTTATTTTCAGAGGAGGGCTTATTTTAGCACATGCGCTCAAAAGCCCTATGGGGTTTATAATCCAGGGAGGTCTTATTTTCAGGGAAACAGGGTATATAGCAAGAATCTTTGAAGCTTATTCGACTGTTGAAATAAGCCACAAAATTCTCTGCTGTAGTTTCCTTTTCAAATTATCTGCTCTGAAATGAGGATCGTTTTTGAAATGTAAAATAAGGTGGGCCTAGCTATGAACAGATATCTCTGGGATCCAACTATGCAAATAGTTATGGCCAAAGAAGCAGGATTACCCTTGCTCTCTGCTCCATGTCCATTAATCCTGGGTTATTATCACCTCTGCCTTCCAAATCATTTCACTAAGCCCATTATGAAAAATGAGCATAAGAAAAAATCTGGTTGTGCAATCGCCCAAATCCAGCCATTGGGACTCACAGTTAATAATTTAGAATTGTTTGTGAACCCAGCCAACTTCAACACACTGCTAAACTCTAGGCTTAGTTCACACACATTCGACTAAAATGTTAGTGGCTCCCTGTGTTGTGCCAGCTGGGTTTAATTAGCTATTAGTGTACTGGGCAAGCAACAATACTGGTAATATGGTTGATCTCATTTTAGTTTGCGGTGATATGAAAATCCAATCATTACAGCTTAGCAACAGCAATCAGTTTTGCTGTTTAAATAGAACACGATCAAGTACTACACTCTGCAATCTGGAGTACTACGACCCCTGTAACACTAGAAGCTGCTACTCCAATTAAAATGCTATGTAAAACTAGCAATTCAGGTTTTGATGTATTCTTGGCTGATGGTTCAGAGAGTAAGAGAGTTACAAGAACAGTTGCAATGGCTAAAATAATTAGAAGTACAATTGTGTCCTTGATGATTCACAAGATAATCTTGGAGTAGTATTCAATGGATATGGGACTCTTTGGTGTAAATGTGTTTTATTTTCCATTTTCATTTTCGTACAGTCACATATATACTGTGCAGAACCGGGGCCGTATAACATTAAACAATAAACACAGCCATCCCTCTTGTCAATAATCCCCCCCAAAATAGAAACCCAATGTACCTCTTCAACCCTCCATACACCCTTTCTTTTGCCCACACCATTCTCATGTGCAGCCACATCCCCGATGCACAAGGAATCTGGGTCCATCTTTCTCCCCCTTCCAGTCTACTTTACACATCCCCTGTTTATTTTTGGACCAAATGCCAGATGGACACGAAGCAGAAGAATCTAAGAATGGCATTTCCATTACTCAGGAGCTGCCTCAGCCTGGACCTTGAGATACAGATGTGCCAAGGGTGGGGGGGAGCCATCATCTCCTGCTTTCAGGAATGGCACCTTTAAGCCCCTGCCTAGGCAGGAAACCCTACACCACTTCAGGCAAATGGTTATCCAACATTTAAAAGGGTCCCACGTTGGAGCATTCTCAGCTTCTGGAGGCAAGTTGTTCCATAGAACAATTCATCAGTGGAAC